GGAGACCCTAAGTTCAAATTGATGAGCAGCTAACTCGGAAGAGTTTTGAAGAGTTTTGCATGCATTTTCGCTTACGACTGTCACAAAATAATACTTGCTCTAACAAGTGATTATTTCCTCTATTTATCATTCTCACTGTGCTGATTTTTTGTAAGCGAAGCAATAAAAGAGTGCAGCCATGAAAATCGATATTCCTGGACAAAAACACGATCAAATCTAAGACATGAGGATTTTATAAAAAATGAAGCGCCATTGCGAGAAAACAACGAAAAGAAATTTGTCTTGTAAGAAGCAATAGCTACAAAAATTTTCAAACAAAGTTTTCCTTCCAATACCTTAATTTGTGAACTGAGCGCGGTTTAACAAGCAGTACATAAAAACCGTAAAGAATGTTGCTTTTCTGGAATTCTTCGAAAAGTTTTCGTACGAGGTGTTTTCAAGTACGTTACAGGAATGCATGATGCGCTTATAGAGTCGAAATGATGAAAATCGATATTCTCGAACAAAAATACGATTGAATTCAAAAGGACATAGGTATTTTTCAAAGACGCGCCATTGCGACCATACCTTAACAAGATGAAATTTATCTTGTTAGGGAACAACGGTAATCGTGAGAGAACTACCGAAGCCAACTCTTGCAGCTCACTAACATTATCGATCTGCTTCTTTTCCAAGACATCAATAATCTATAGAGCTTTTTGTAAACAAATAAGCAGAGTAATAAGCTGTTAAAAATTCAAATTTTTGTTCTTTTCTCTTGTAATTGTAAATGGGAGAGATGTACGCAGTGCATCAACTTTGATAGAAAGAAATTTGTTTGATTGGTCGACAGTAATATGATGGACATCAAAAAGTCCTGGTATACCTCCTACTAATTGTTCTTGAAAGAGATTGCCTCCACTTCCAAAGCATTTGCGTCAAATCCTTTAAGAATCTACTGTCGCATTCATCTTCTTCATTCTCTTAGTATTATAGGCTTTCCAATTCGCAGTATGGGCTTTGGTAACTGTTTTCAAATTGATTATTGCCATTTTCAATACTGATGCATATCTAGAATTCTATGGACAATGTAAGTTCATTCGCAATGTTAAATTTTTCCAATTGCCTTGAAGCCAACCCTCCTTTTTAGCTCATCACGACGATTTCTTAACGAGGGCTGTTATTATTACAATTATAAAAGCCGTAGTGCTGTTGATAGGAGCAGCATTTTTCTGGAGACTTGCAGTAAGTTCCAGTCCGGTCTTAGCTAATAGCAAAAAAAGCGCACCTTAAAAAGAAGTTTGAATAATCGGTTTTCTAGGTTTTCCACACGACGAGAAGGTACTTCGAAGCGAAAGCTGATGGAACCGTGCCGCCTGCTGAAGAAGCTACAGGAATGGAGAAGTTGATGAGACCAATCTAGTAAAATATTCATATCAAAAAAGTTATTTTGAATGTGCCAAAGAAAGTTAGCAACACTTTCGTGCATGAGAATTTTGTATCAAAATTGTTGCTCAAAGATAGATATAAAAATAGAGGTTGTATAAGGCCATAAATGAGAGTCTTTCAATAAAATCATCTTATTTGTTGTAATGTCTTATAGTGCCCAGAGTCACACTTATTTCTATGTTTGAAATTGAGCGAAACATTCATATCATTTGAAATGAGTTGTTATTACATGATCAATCCTAAACTGGTTGGGTAAGTCAGTTTCAGAACAGCGAAGTTAATGGAAAATAGAAAAATATCGACTGGGTATTTTGTCCGTTTGCAAAACTATAAAACTCCCATCTGTTAGCGCCTGGTTAAAATCTTTGCTATTAAAACTGGTTTCAGAAAGAGAAAACTTTCCAGAATCTTCCAATCATTAAAATGTTCTGAACGTGTTAGCAAGCAATGTACAATTAGAGAAGCAAAGACTAACTTTTTCTCCAGTTTAGAGAAATCCGATTAGGTGCGCATCACCAACTTCCTTTGATTTTTCCATCATCCACTTGGAAAGTTAGCATTTAGAATTAGCATTTGATCTCGAAACAAGTTTGTGCTCCGAATTTTTCCACATTTTTCCAGATGGTGTAGGTGCGCATTAGCAGCTGTCAAACAAAAATTTTTCAAAATTTTTCAGACGAAGGTGGTTTTTAAAGGCTTTCAGACAAAGATAGAAGAAGATATTTTGTGCGAATTATAAGTGATATGGCCGTTTCACCATTTTAAAATTAATCCATGTGCCTTGAGCTAATTTAAGCAGGAACCTACAACAGAAGCCAACGTTTGGGGAAGAGCACTTTGAATAACAAATTTTTATAAATTTACCTGTACCAGAATTTAAAACTGTGTGACTCAATGTAAATGAAACTGAGCTTCCTCTAGCTATTCATCCCAGTGTTTTTTTTCGATTTAAACTGTCAGTGGAATGTCACTGATACGTATCTCAATCATTCCGCTTAA